CATCAGGCTTCTGTGTAACACCTCATTAGAAGAAAGGCTCTGCAGATAAAAGCAGACTCAGAAAACCACCACCTACGGCTGGCCAGTTAACCTAGTTGGTTAGAGCACAGTGTTGTAACACCAAGGTCAAGGGTTCAGATTCCCAGCCAGCCACCAAAAAAAAAAAAAAAAAAGAAAACCGTCACCTGGATGGCTTCTTAGGCTCCTTCTAGTATCAACATGCAAAGGATCTAGAGGACTCTAAGAGAGATGTTGTCTGGCCTCCCTCATTCCTGCTCAATCACTCAACAAGCATCTATTTAATGCCTAGAGTAAGAGAGCACCTGGAATAAAGCTGTGGGGTAATTCAGAGAGAAGCTACAGTTCTGGCTTGGAGGAACTTGGGCTCCAGAAGGGGAGCTAAACATGGGAAGGACAGGATATAAGGATGACTGAACTGAGCACTAGGGGAGTAAACTGCAGGACTGGATGATCCCTAGCACTGAGGGATTCTGGCGGAGATGCCAATTGGGAGAGCCTCAATGAACGAGCAGAGTTTTGATCTGGTCAAGTCTAGCAGGAAAGGCATTTCTGGCAGGAGAAGAGGTATAAAATAGTTAAGGGGGAAAAAAAAGCCCTAGGCTGGCAGAAAAAATAAAAAATTCTGAGCCTCACCAAGTTCCATGTGGAGGGCACACACGATCTTGTTTCACCCCCACATGACCCCTCTGAGGAAGCCACCACCATTACCGTGACCTCTATGCAGATGTGAAATAATAAAAAATATCTATGTTGGTTTCTGCCCTAAAATTTCCTAAGCTGTAAGGGTGCTAGGAGAATCTTTTGTTCTGTTTGGTCTTTGACCCCGGTTCCTGACACAGAACACCTAAATCTTTTGGAATTTTCTGGGTGACAGAAGCATCTTTTGTTCTAACAAGGCAACTCTTGGGAGGCTCCTGGATGGGTGCTGATCACCAGAAAGAGCAAGCCATGATTAGAAGCCCAGAACTTTCAGCCCCAACCCTCATCCTCTGAGAGGGGAGAGGGGCTAGAGATTCAGTTAATACATCACGCCTGCTCGATGAAGCTGCCATAAAATCCCTAAAGTACAGGGTTTGAAGAGCTTCTGTCAGTGAACAAGAACATGTGCTAGGAGGCTGGTATGCCCAAAACTCCAGGAGGACAGAAGCTCCGCCCTGTGTGTCTCTTCATCTGGCTGTTCATCTGTATCCTTTAATAAATCCTTTGTAATAAATCTGTAATTGAATAAGTGAACTGTTTTCTTGAGTTCTGTGAGCCATTCCAGCAAATGATTGAACCTAAAGAGGGGGTTAATAGGAATCTCCTATTTGTAGTGAAATCAGACAGAAGTTATGGGTAACCTGAAGCCCAACACTTGCATTTGGCGTCTGGAGTGGAGGACAGTCTTGTGGGACTGATCTCTTAACCTGTGAGGTCTGTGCTAACTCTGAGTCATTAGTGTCAGAATCGAATTAAATTGTCGGACACCCAGTTGGTGTTTGGAGAATAAGAGAATTGGCTGGTGTGAGAAAACCCCTACACATCTGGTCACAGAAGTGTTGGAAATAGTGAGTGAGAGTATACAGAAAAACAGCAGGTGTTTCCTCAATAGCAGATAAGGAATCAAAGGTGTCAAGAGCTTACTCCGCGTACCCAAGGTCACACAGGATATGTACATCAGGCAGCCCCAGGAGATGCTCCGTGTTCTATCCTTTAGGTTTGGCTTGCTTGATGGGTATAGGGAAAGTGAAAGTAAATGGTCAGAGTCCCTCAGATGTTCAGAACCTTGCCAAGCATTTGATGTAAACATAACTGTGCACGTGCACCCAGGTGTTTTTGGTTGTCTGACTTGCATCCAGGTGTCCTGGGTTATCGAACTTGAGTATAAAGGACTAATGGCTCTGATACACAGGGCCCCCCACCCCTGGGATGCCTTAGGGGGCGGGCCACAGGGAGGCTGCTACTGCTGCTGGAGGCTGTTGCTATAAGCTGTTGCTGCCAGTGCCCCTGGAGGCCATCACTGCTGCTGCTGCTAAGGAAGCTGGGGACTGAGCTCACTTTGGAATAAACCTGTCAACTCTGCCAATGGCTCCTGGGATCTTTCCCAATTACCTTGCTCACAACCTGCATGTGAGGGGTCTGGTGACCCAGTCTGTACAACAGTTTTGAAGGGTCTGTGGGCCCTAGCCCGACACTAGGGCAATACACCCTATGTATACATACCCACAGTAGCTCAGGAAAGGAGGAAGAGCCTTGTGGGGAGGTAGCTGAGAGGCAGAAGAAAGCACTCACCTCTGGAAGGAGGCCACACGGTCTTTCAGAGCCTGCACGAAGGGCAGGATCCAGTGGTGGCGCAGAACCACGCTCTGGGACAGGCTGAGGTGGAACGCCTCCATCCTTACCAGCCGGGGAACGTATGTCTGGGCATGGGGCAGCAACATGTCAAGCAGATCCAGGAACTCCTCCCTGGCTTCATCTGGAGAAGAACGGGGGACAGGGTGGGCTGTTTTCTTAGCCAAGGTATCATGACTGAATGGAGAAACCTAGAAAGCTGAGAGAGAAACTTATTCCTCTGGGTTTTGGGAGAAAATTACTTTGACAGCAGCTTATATCTATGTATTGTAATAATATTTCAGTATGCATTTCTGGTTATTGAAGTAACACAAGCTGACTGTAATGAATTCAAGTAAACAAGAAATATGCAGGGGACTTCTGGTTTCCGGCCCAGCATGTAAGAAGCTTGGAAATTACCACCCCTTCCTAACAACAAGTGAAATCCTGAACTATCTGAAAAAAGCAACACCTCTTATTAGCTCTGTAAGAGAAGTGAGTCAAGGGCAAACTGCTGCTCCCAAACTGGCAAGACCAACAGGCAGATACAGAGACTCACAGATTACCAGACCGGAAACACATGGGCTGAAACCTCTGAGGGAACCAGGGCCAGGATAGGGAAACCTGCATGTAATGGACATATTGCAGGAGACTGTGTGTACAAATCTGATAGTTAAAAACTCCAAGGGGACCCAATCATGAGGGGTCTCACACTTCTGGGAGGTTCACCTCCTAAAGCTTTGCTAGATTCTCACAGAATATTGGAGAAAAATCCCCTCATGCCTCTGGCAGGGGAAAACCATTTTGAAATACACCAGAGCACTCTGTTTTTCTTAACAAGGTCTGCCCTCAGAAGAAACTAGTTAACCACAGCCTAACTTGCTGGGGTTTTATCAGAGCCCAACTGATCTGGGGAAAGTGAAATACCCAACTCCAGCCCACTCTAGCCATCCTGTCCCATCTAAGGGGTGAAAAAACTGAAAAGCACATGTGAATGAAGTTCAGAGTCCAGGGACACAGGTTCACCAAAAGACCGAAACCTAATCACAGAACTATAGTATGCTTCTCTCCCCACACCTCACTACTGCATTTCAAAAAGCCTGTTTACAGCAGTTCCTTGTACCCTGTACATCATGCCCAGCCATCAGGAAAAAATTACAAGGCATTCTAAAGAAAAAAAAAACCCAGTTAGAAGAGAAAGAGCCAGCAAGAGAACCTCTTAACTTTAAAAAACTAGAAATTATACAATGTATGATCTCAGGCCACAGTGGAATTAAACTAGAAAATCAATAACAGAAAGATATTCGGAAAATCCCAAAATACTTGGAGATTAAACAACATACTTCTAAATAACAATGTATCAAAGAAGAAATCTCAAGAAAAATTTGAAAATGAAAACACAACTTATCAAAACTTGTAGGATGCAGCAAAAGAGGTGCTTCTAAGGGTATATGTGGCAGTGAGTATTGGAAAAGAAGATCTAAAATCAATCATCTAAGCTTCCACCTTAGGAAACTGGAAAAAGAGCAAATTCAATCCAAAGTAAGTGGAAGAAAAGAAATAATAAAAATTACACCAGAAACCAAAGAAATTGAAAATAGGAAATCAATAGAGAAAAATCAACAAAATCAAAAGTTGGTTCTTTGAAAAAATCAATAAGCCTCTAGCCAGGTTAACTAAAAAAAAAGAGAAGACACAAATTACTAATATCAGAAATGAAAGAGGGAACATCACCACAGATCCCATGGACAGTTTAACAGGTTAATCAAAAATATTATGAACAATTCTTATGTCCTCAGATTTGATAACCTAGATGAATTGGACTAATTCCTTAAAAGACAATCTGCCAAAACTCACAAAAGACACAATCTAAATAGACCTTGCTGTGGTTTGAATGTTCCCCCCAAACTCATGTTAGAACTTAACCCCCAATATGGTGGTGGAAGGTGAGGTCTTTAAGAGTCAGATTGTGAGGACTGTGTCCTTGCGAATGGACTGATCATTCATGGAGTAATGGGTTGATGGTTTAATGGGTTGTTATGGACATGGACTGGTGGCTTTATAAGAAGAGCATATGAAAGAGCTCTTGCTCATGCCATGCTCACCATATAACTGCCTGCATCGCCATGGGACCCTGTAGAGAGTTCCTGCCCAGAGGACCCTCACCAGATGTGCCCCCTGGACTTCCCAGCCTCTGAAACTATAAGAAATACATTTCATTTGTTTATAAATTACCCAGTTTCAGGTATTCCATTATAAGCAACGGAAAACAGACTAATACAGACCTATATCTACTGAAGAAATTGAACTAATTAATTAATTATCTTCCCAAACAGAAAGCATTAGGCCCAGGTGTGTTCACTTGGGAATGCCACCAAACATTTAAGAAATTAAACCAATTCTCTACGATCTCTTTCAGAAGACAGAAGCGGAGAGAATACTTTCTGACTCATTCTATGAGGCCAGCATTATTACCCTTATTCCCAGACAAAAGACATTACAAGAAAAGAAAACTACAGAACAATATTTCCCATGGACATAGATGCACAATCCTCAAGAAAATATTAGCAAATCGAATCCAACAATGTACACCGTGACCAAGTAGAATTTATCCCAGGTATACAAGGTTGGTTTAACATTAAAAAACCAATTAATATAATCCATCACAACAATAGGCTAAAGAAGAAAAATCACATGATCATATCAATAGATGCAGAAAAAGCACTCGACAAAATCTAATACCCATTCATGATAAAAACTCTCAATAAATTAGAATATCAGAATATCAAGGCACTTAATCAACTTGATAACGAATGTCTACAAAAAACCTACAGATAACATCATACTTAACAGTGAGAAACTCAAAACTTTCCCGACAAAATCTAATACCCATTCATGATAAAAACTCTCAATAAATTAGAATATCAGAATATCAAGGCACTTAATCAACTTGATAATGAATGTCTACAAAAAACCTACAGATAACATCATACTTAACAGTGAGAAACTCAAAACTTTCCCACTTGAGATCAGGAACAAGCAAGAATGTCCCCTCTCACCACTACTTTTTCAACTCATACTGGAAGTCCTACCTAATGCGATAAGTCAAGAAAAGGAAATAAAAGATATACAGATTGGGAAGGAAGAAATAAGATTGTTTGCAGATTGTTTTCATTTTTAAAAAAAATTTATTTATTTATTTTTCCTTTTTGTCTTCTTTCGTGACCGGCAACGGATCGCAACCCTCAGTGTCGCGCCTGTACCGGCAACGGAATCGCAACCCTCGGTGTTGCACCCGCACCTCGCTCAGCCAGTGAGTGGCCGGTCTGTATGTAGGATCTGAACCCTCGGCGGAAGCGCCGCTGCGCTCCCAAGCAGCGCACTGTAGCAGTGCGCCACCGGGCCACTGTGCAGATTGTTTTCTACACTGTCTATGTAGAAAATCCAAAGGAAGCAACAAAAAAATTCTTGGGCCAGCCCGTGCAGATTGTTTTCTACACTGTCTATGTAGAAAATCCAAAGGAAGCAACAAAAAAATTCTTGGGCCAATAAATGATATAGCAAGATTGCAGGATACAAGGTTAATATACAAAAGTCAATTGTTTTCCTATGTACCAGCAATGAACAAGTGGAATTTGAAATTAAAACATAACACCATTTATGCTAGCATTCCCCAAAATGAAATACTTAGGTGTAAATCTAACAAAATGTGTACAATATGGATATGAAGAAAACTACAAAATTCTGATGAAAGATATCAAAGAATTAAATAAATGAAGAGATATTCCATGTTAATGAATAGGAAGACTCAATATTGTCAAGATACCAGTTCTTCCCAACTTGATCTGTAGATTCAATGCAATCCCAATCAAAGACTCAGTAAGTTATTTTGTGATATCAACAAACTGATTCTAAGGTTTACACAGAGAGGGAAAAAACTCAGAAAGGCCAACACAATATTGAAGCAGAACAAAAAAGTCGGAAGACTAATGCTACCTAACTTTAAGAATTATTATAAAGGTACAGCAGTAAAGACAATGTGGTATTGGCCAAAGAATAAACAAATAGATCAATGGAACAGAACAGAAAGCCCAGAAATAGACCTATAAAAATACAGTCAACCGATCTTTGACAAAGAAGCAAAGGTAATAATACAATGTGGAAAAGACAGTCTTTTCAACAAATGGTGTTGGAACAAGTAGACATCCACACGCAAGAAAATGAATCTAGACACAGACCTTATACCCTTCACAAAAACTAACTCAAAACGGATCGCAGACCTAAATGCAAAGTGCAAAACTATAAAACTCCTAGAAGATAACACAGGAGAAAAACCTAGATGACCTTGGGTTTGGCAGTGACTTTTTAGATACAACACCAAAGGCACAACCCATGAAAGAAAGAATTGGTAAGGTGGACTTCGTTAAAATCAAAACCTCTGCTCTGTGAAAGATACTGTCAAGAGAATGAAAAGACAAGTCACACAATAGAAGAAAATATTTTTGCAAAAGACATACCTGATAAAGAACTGTTATTCAAAATATACAAAGGACTCTTAAAAACTAAACAATAAGAAAACAAACAACTTGATTTAAAAATGGGCTGAAGACTTTAAAAGACACCTTACCAAAGATATACAGATGGCAAAAAGCATATGAAGAGATGTTCCACATCATGTTATCAGGGAAATGCAACTTAAGAGACAACAATGAGATACTACTACACCTATTAGAATGGCTAAACTCCAGAACACTGACAACACCAAATGCTGACAAGGAAGTGGAGCAATAGGAACTCTCACTCATTGCTGGTGGGAATGCAAATTGGTACACTGTGAAAGTCTGGCAGTTTCTTACAAAACTAAACATACTGTTACCATACAATCCAGCAATTGAACTTCTTGATATTTACCCAAAGGAGGTGAAAACTTACGTCCACACAATAACCTGCATGTGGATGTCTATAGTAGCTCCACTCATAATTGCCAAAACTTGGAAGCAACCAAGATGTCCTTTAGTAGGTGAATGGGTAAATAAGCTGTGGTACATGCAGACAGTGGAATGTTATTCAGTGCTAAAAAGAAATGAGCTATCAAACCATAATAAAACATGGAGGAACCTTAAATGCATACTACTAAGTGAAAGAGGCCAATCTGAAGATATTACATCATGTACGGTTCCAACTGTATGATCTTCTGGAAAAGGCAAACCTCTATGGATTTGGTAAAAAAATCAGTGGTTGCCAAGAATTGGAAAGAGGGAGGAATGAATAGGCAGAGCACAGAGGATTCTTAGGGCAACTAATCTACTCTGTATGTTACTGTAATGGTATCATATCTTTATAATTTGTCCAAATCCATAAAAAGTACAACACCAAGAGTGAATCCTAATGTAAAGTATGGGTTCTGAACGATGATGATGTGTCAATGTAGACTCATCAATTCTGACAAATGTACCATTCTGGTGGGGGATGTTGATAATGGGAGAAGCTATA